ATTTAGGTTTTGAATTGATCAATAGAGTTTAGTGTTTGAGGGAACTTTAGGAATTGGAATGATTATATCACTAACAATCAAGTGTGACTGTCAAGTGGTAGGTCAAATGATCAACTGATGATTAGAGGTGATTGTCAAGTGATGTTTTTATGTTTTAATGATGAAACCACCAAGCCAATACACAATACTAATATATATATATATATATATATATATATATAGTTTATTTTTAAAAATGTTTTTTAATGATTTAGGTCTAGAGATTAGTGTTTGATATAGGGGGAATGACCTCTTTGAAAAATGAGGTCAACACACCCCCTCCCCTCCTAAATGTTCTCTTAGATTCAATTTTACTCTAATTGTGAATATATATTATCATTTCCCTATCTCTCAATAAAACATATCTCCCTAACATACATTGCAATTCAACATGCCACCTAAAGTTGCCACTATAAAACAATTTAAAGAACTTTAAATTAATTAAGTAACATTATTCAAATCACAAAACAAAAATTTGATGCTATTAATGAAACATTTAATGTATTTCAAAATATGTTTCGAACTCTTCAAGATGAACTACAAAATTTTACTATAAAGCTTCAAAATCCAACTGAGCTTGAACTTAGGAATTACCAACATAGAAGACTTCCAATGCAATGACATAAACCTAAATATGAATTTAGGGTTCTTAATGATCCTTGTTCCAAAAAGAAAACTAAAGCTCTTAATTTTGATGGAATTCATTATCCCAATAAATTTCTAAACTAATTGACCCAAATGGAAGATTTTTTTAACTAGAATAATAAGTATGATTATCAATGCGTAAATTTTGTTAAGATGAAAGTTGTAGGACATACTAAAATCTATTGGACCAACATCATATCGAAAAAAATTAGGAATGATATAAGACAATAAACTTGGGCTAAGTTGAATGAAATTTTAAAGATAATATACCACCCTAAGTTTCATAAAATAATATCTATATAGCCAACTATTGACTCTACAATAAGGAACTATGCTTGTTAATGAATATATGAATATTCATGAGTCCCTACTAGTAAATATAAATTACACTAACAGTGATAGGAAAGTTGCAAATAAGTTTGTTATTGGAATCCAAGCTAAAATCAAGAATGAAATTGAGTTACACAATCCTCAGACTTTAGTAGATATATTTTTCTTTGCAATGATGATTGAAAAACAAAAGAAAGTGATTCCCTCTTTAAAACTTAAAAATTAATCATATTCAACTTACAGATCTATGTCTACTACAAAACCATTAGCTTCAATGTCTACTAACTTATCATCCACTAGTACTCACAAACCTAAAACTCTCCTTGAACCCAACCATGAGAGAACCAATTAAATTATTTATTTTAAATGTTATAAAAAGAGCCATATGCAAAAAAAAAAGCACTATAAAATCCTATTTTTAGATGAGATTGAGTCCCATGAACATGAAACTTATGAGAAATTTTTGGATGATGACCCTCTTACAAAAAATGTAAGTAAATTAAATGATACTCTCATGGCTGTTATGAGCTATCTTGTGATGGCTAAATAGAACTCAAAAGACTAGTGTCAACGTAGTATTTTTCAAATGATAGTCATTAGTAATGAATAGATATTGAAATCTGTTATAGATGGTGAAAGAGCACAATGAACTTATCTCTATTAGTTTCCTTCTTTAGACAATACTAAAACCTAAACCTCACTCGATCTTTTTCATGTAAGTTGGGTAATTACACATTGTTACATGTTATATCTTGATGCTTAGTTCTGAATAAGATGAGTACTTATGATGATTTGATTTTATGTAATGTTCTACCATGGATATAGCTCATATCCTTTTTAAGCTTACCCTAGATTTTTGATAGTGATTTGATTTACTTTGGTCGAAAAAATTGTTATGCATCAATATAAATAACAAGAATATCAAGCTACTCCTATAAAGCCATAAGGGAAGGTGGATGTACTTGTGTTTTAGCTTGAAAAGTCATTTTTTGGGAGAATTTAATTTCTGGAATTTTTGTTTTGATATTAAACACGTCATTATGAACCATATATTACATTGGAAGGAAAAAATATCATTCCCTAATGAGTTAAAATAATGAAACTGGAAGTTTCGTCCTGATTATAATATTTAGATTCAAGGAAAAACTATATTTGACCCTGAAGGGTCAAAATGACGTTCTCCAAGTATCTAACTATTATATATTGGACGAAGTCAAATAAGAGTAAAGGATTGAAACTAGAATTTCAAATGGAAATGGATTAAATAAGAGCACTTATTTTTGAAGTTTAAAGAAAGAAAAGTAAGAGGTGCCTTGAGATTTTAAAATATTTTAGAAATACCCTAGCTTTCGCTATATGTTTGGTTTTAACTTTTGATTTAAAGAGAACTCTTAGTTTGAGTTGATTAATTTATTAAAAAGTTGAGATTACATTTTTGGAGGTTGGAGACTTAAGTATTTATGACCTAAGAGGTCAAATAAATGAAATTAAGAGGTGCCTTGAGATTTTAAAATATTTTACTAAGCTCATTTGTAAAGGTATTAAAACCTTAAAATATTTATGAGCTGCCGCTAGACCTAACACCTAGTGGAATTTGATCTTGAAGCCCCTTACAAACCATTTGATCACTTTTAGGCCTTTGATATTGATATGTTAAGCATTAATCTACATTTTTATGTACCCACTTTGACCCAGAATTGACCAGAGGTCAAAATGACAAAAATGCCCTTTAAGGGGATTTTTGGACTTTTGACCAAAATTTAACGTGTTTCAGCTTTATCAACCTTTGAAATCTATCCCAATCAATTTTAAACATCACTTGTGACCTATTAGACCTAGTCCTATACCTTGGGTCAACATGATTGTCAAGGTTAACATAAGTTGACCCAAAAGCCCCTTTAAGGTCTAAAAAGTCACTTTGACTAAATTGACTTCCCCAGACCTTGGGATCACATCCATTAGTCTCCAAATATCATTTCAAACTAATTACGACCAACTCCTTCCCTTGGGTCAACTTGGTTGATCAAGTCAACCTAGTCGACCAACCCAAACATAAACTTTATGCTCACTCAATTCAATCTCAAACTCATTCAAACTCCCTTGAACATGTGATCCAGTGATTTGGACTTGACTGATTACTTTGACCTAGAAAATGGTTGACTTGGTCAACTCAGTCAATGTTTGGTCAAACCTAGCATACTTGGGTCAAATCTCCCATTCATTCAAACAAGACTCATCTAATCTTCACCAAGCCTTTAAACTTGTTTCACTCCATGGCTTGGGCATGTTTTATCATGAGGTGATTCAAAACCTCTTGTCTCTGATCTAGTTAATTTTGAGCTCCAAGTGAAATAATTTATGATTTCATTCTAAACCCTTTGGTCCATTTCACTTGACTCAAAAACACATACACTCCCTCCAATTTGCATACCAGTCAATACAGCCTTTTAACCAGTAAAATGGTCAACTTAAGCATTTGAATTTACTTTTGAAATGGTTAAGTACATATTTAAACTCTAACCACGTCATCTCAAAGCTATGAACCTCAGTTAACCATCACACATACACCCCCTCCATGCCACCTCATCCCAATTTGACCAGTTGACCAGTCAAGATAGTCAACAAGGCCTCATGTCTTTCCAAAGGCTCATAATCACACTAAACCACTTTTCTCTAATTTTTGTTGATGTAGGGAGGGCCTATTTAAATCCTAAAGCTCACTTAGAGCTCTCCCAACCAAGCTTAGGGCTTGGTTTAGCCTTAAATGGTAGTGGTCTTCTCCCTTAAGCCTAAAGCCACCAATGGTATGCTTATCAAACCATGCCTTTCCCCTACTATTCCAGAGGTATAGGATAGGTGTAAGGCATCTAGGGGAGGAATTTGAAGCATCAGGACCATCCAATTTCATCCAAGAGATTTGAATAGGTCAAAACTTTTATTGAGAGGAATCATTCAAACCCTCGCATTCTTTCACTCTCATCCAGCCTCCAACCTTTCAAAACCCTTCCCCAGCTTCTTCAATCATTTCAAAGGCCTTCCCAAGCTTCTCCCAATCATTTCCAAACCTCAAATCACTATTTTAGTGAGGAAAGCATTCTAGTGAGGAAAGTAGAGTTTCCATGATAACTTTCAATCCAGCCGTTAGGAGTCTTCAACAAACTTGTAAGATATCTTCACTTTTAGATAAAATTTTACTTTGAAATTGTAGCAATTTTATAATACATGAAGCCTCCAAACTCTAGGTATTGCAAGATTATGTTGTCCTCTAGCTACGTATCTTCTAGCTATAACAAAAAAGATCATTAGCGACCCAAAAAATACAGACAAAAAAAAAGGGTCGCTAATAATATCTTTTAGCGACAAAAAAAAAAGTAAGGCCTCTAATAATAAGTAAGCTTGATATTAGCCAATCAAAAACAATTGGCTGCTAATTTGGTCGCTAAAACTTTAGAGAGATTTTTTCACTAATATATACATGTCATTTTAGTGATTAATTATTAATTTTTTTAAATATCATTAATATTTTATATAATGACAATTATTTTTAAACAAATTTTAAGTTGAAGTATTAATGATTAAAAAAATCAAAATGGTGAAATTAATTAGTCATTCAAATTTTACAAAATATATGTTGGAGTTTCTTAAATTTGACTCAACCCCTATTTGTTCATATCCGTAATTATCATACATTTTGCACAAACTTGTCGGGGGTCCAAGGGGGCAGCACCCCTTGGCGGGGTTCGACCTGCCCGATCAGGTCGCAGGGTCAAGTGGCAACGCCCCTGCGAGGGTTTTCCCCGGAATAAATTTTGGTTGTAAGGATATTTTTAGAATAACAATTAATAAAAAATTGATGAATTAAAATTAATATTTATATTTTTAAGTTGAGAAATATAATAATTTATTTATAAAATAAATTAAAATATATATTATTTACTTATTTAAATAAAAATACATTAGCAAAACCTCACGGATGATTCCTTTTTGCTACTCACGTTCGCCTTAGGTTTGCTCTTTAGCGACAACCTCAAACTGCAATCCACGGCCTTGATCTCTCGTGCTTCTAATTTTCAATTGTCCTCTCGACGCCACTAGAGTCCAATCCATACGTTGCTCTGGCCCCGGCTACTCCGCATTTATGAAAAGTATGGTTATTGTGTTTTTAGTTGCTTGTGTAGTTTTTGTGAGTTCTTATTTTGTAGGATATCTGATTCTTTGTTCCCGTTGCTATTGCAATATGTATGTGTAGTTTCTATGGAGACGGTAAGAAATTTGTTTGGGAGATGGAGTGTTGGAGAAGCGACGAAGGTAGCGAGAATCTGAGCTTGAAAGTTTTCTAGCATTGTGAATATTTGTTTATTTTTTTAATTATTTATGATGTTGACGGCTTTCTAAATGGCACTCGATACATGTAGAGGAGTGCACAAGCAATTATTTTATATTTTTCCTTTGGGTGTTTGATAGAAAGCACTAAACCTCTGCACAAATTAGGCTATATCATGCTATATTTGGTCTTGTAAAATCGATCTTCAATTGATGCTATTGACATGTAGGTCTTGTATGATGAATTCACTTAGCGTCTTCTTCGAAATGCACAACTGATTCTTTAATTAAGAATCATTGTTGAACCTGTAATCATTAGCATTGTGTTGTTGATTATATTTGTTCCAAATGTCAATTAATGGATCTTCATCATTAACAGATAAATCTTTGAGAGCTTTAAACCCCAACAATTGATGAGTTATAAGCTATAATAAGTAGATTGCCACGCTAACTTAGAGCGTGTGGTTAAGGTTCGTACTCTATAGTTACAGAGGAAGACGATCTTTTAAGGAAAGAGGACCTAGAGGCATGCATGTTGGAAAATTTCTTTTAGGAGTTAATGTATTTGAGGGATTGATGATCTCTATGTAGGATAATTTTCTTTTGTATTAGTTAGTGCTCCTAATGTTATAATGCCCGTATGATAACATATAATTTTTTCTCATCCATCAGCATCAGAAATAGAGACAACTATCATTGGTATTATTACTTATGGCTTCTTCAAATTTAATAATTTTAATAAATATAAATGACTTTCTTATTAAAAAAATTTTTCTGCTTCAAGTTCTAATAAAGAAAGGGGTCCAAATAGAGGTGTGACATTAGAATAGCATTACAGAACAAAAGTTAAGGTATCAATAATCATTCTAGAGGGCTTGAATAGGCCAATTAGAGAGCATCACTCTAGAGAAGCGGGTATTATAATTAGAAACTTTGCACCCATGCAAGTTGAAAGATGGGATCAAGTGAGTGATACTGATAAAGAAATACTTTTAAAAAAATTGATGATAAGAACTTTAACAATTATTTTAGTTACTTGTGATATAAAATTCAATTTCATTTAAGAATATCATTTATCTTTATGTTTTACCTTTTGTTACTTTCGACATAGAAGTTTTTATTTTCTATTTTTGCTTGTATGATTATATTTGTAATTTAACATCTGCTCTAATGATAACAAATATACTTTTGAAAAAGTGAATTATTTAAGACCTGGATAAAATTGTGAAGTTATAAAGCTTAACTGGTGTTTTCAATATAGATTTCATGAACACTAAGATTGTTTTTGTGTACGTATATGGACTCTACTCCTAAGAAGAGGAGAATCACCAACTCCCATTAGGTTTTCAAGTGGTACCCCCCTTCCTTGGTGTGTACATTTATCCTACCACTCTAACTCAGCCAGCGATAACCTTTACTGTGGTGGCCTTTTCCTGATAACTATAAACTAAATTTACCTTATTATGACCTTAAAGTAACCCTAAGAAAACCTCCTGGCCAATGATTTTTTATGTTCCTCTGTTTTGAACATGTGATTCCATATCTCTACTTCATTGTCTTTTTCCCTGGATCCATGGTAAGACTCCTTATTCCTTGTTTGCATGTGCTTTGAATCTGTCTTCGTAAGTGTTTCTGCTGGTATGTGGTCTTTTCTTACATATAAGTTAGTGTATGTAACAAGATTTTATTTCTCTACTGCACATATAGCTGTTTCCAACAAACTTAATCAATTTTACAGTGCATTTCATTTATATTTCTTGGCAATAGCCTAGCGTCATTAATGAGGTCCATGGAGCGTGATTTTTAGTGCATGAAGTTAAGTTGTGGCTGTACAAATTTTCTGCTTGTTGAATATTATAGGTTTGGATCAAGATTGGAGAATATGTATATATGAAGGAATTTTCAAATAGTCACAGTGAGGAGTATCTTAAAACTAAGTATGGTTTGTTTTGTTTGTGGTTTTCCTTCAGGAATCTCTTTGACCTGATATATTTGAGGGCATAACTTGCTGCTTGCTTAAACAGTGTAATGCGTATTGTCTCAAAATTGAGTGTGTTTTCTTAAGCTTGAGATTCACCAAAAAATCTCTTGGAGATAATAGAATTTTGATGGCACAATAGCAAATTTGGACAAAATTCTGTGTTGAAAGTGAATTTTCCATATATGTTCATATGAAGTGCAGTCATTTGGATTTTATATGGTTTTCTTTTATCATGCTTGTCAGCTAGTCTTTCAAATCCTATTGACTCATGTACAAAATTGGATAGGATAAATTTATAGCATGATATTTCAATAATTATTTGTGAGATTTTCTTATCATACTATTTAATATTTTCTTTTAATTTTGAGTTTGTTGTATTAATTTAATTTATACGTGATGACTGAGTTGAAATGTTTTTGTTTATATCAGATGCTTTATGTGTTTATGTGCGCTAACATGTCGTATCTTTTGAGGGACTAGCACGAGCAATGGGCGCACCGAAGAAAATCCCTATTGAAGGTATTTCTAGCTTTATATTGACTTAATTTTGAATGTTTGAAAGCTCTCATTTATGAATTGCATTCTTCACATATGAATAAATTGACAATTTTCTTTTTGATTTTTGTTTTGTAATTATTCTCTCAAAGCATGAAGATTTTTCGTTGTCAATTGCCTAGATCAAATCCTTGCTACAAGTGAACCTCCTAAGCATACTGGCACCGATAAACTAACCATTACTGGAGGTAATATACATAATTGTCTTTAAGCTATCACTTTCTCATTGCAGGGTATTTGATAGTAAAGAAATTTTTTTTACACATTGGTTTTGATTTGCGTAAACAAAAGCTCAGAATTGAGCTTGAAGTTGTTCTGCTAGTTTATGATGAATTTTGTGCCGAGCTAAAAAATGATGGGTAGATGTATAGATTGTAAGGTTTTGTTTGAACTTTGTTCTTCATTCAACTCAAGTTTTAGTTTAGATACAAAATTTTTCGTTTATATTTACAAATTATGCTAAATGAGGCCATTGGAGAATGTATATATACATTTTTTTTGGGTATGTCACCTTCTCTTTTGGTTCATATTTGTATGAAGAACAAAGAAATAAAGCATGTTGTTGATCTGTAAGTGCTTTTGTGTTTCATAGATTGATGTTGTCATTTATTTTTGATATAGTTTATATGTGGGAAAAATTAATAATTTTGTAATTTTATATTTATTTACATAAAAGTTAATAAAAGATTATTATGTTAATTTTTTGTTATCATTTTGTAAACTTTAAGATTTTATGATTAATGATATCTGAGATTATATTTTTTGTATTAATTAATGGATGTATTTGTAAAAGTATATGAATGAATACAATTTTCATTTTCTCCAAGGAAATTTTTAACAATGATACTCATGAATAAATATAAATTTTTTGATTCTAAGCTTTTTATTATTATTGCCGCAAGCTAATAAAATTTGTATTATTTCTCTATTATTTAATTTATTTAATTAATTACAATATAAAGGAGTGATGGATTGATCCTAATTGTTATATCAATGCATAATAAATGGATAATAATTTTATTTACTAAATATCACAAATTTTTTATCCATAAATACATATCAACACTTAATAAAATTAAAGGGGCATGTAATTTTTTTGGTTGATCATTTTGCGACCAATTTTTATATTGGTCGCTATAGGAAAAATGTAATAAATAAAATTTATTTTTAAAATTATTAAATTGCATCCAAATAAATATTCATTAGCGTCCAAAAAATGGTCGCTAATATGTCTAATTTTAGCGACTAATACTAATTAGTGGTCACTAATTTAGCATCCAAAAAAGTTTTTTTGTCGCTAAAAGCCTCAGTGATGAGGCTACTGCGACAAATCAGTGACCCAAATATTTTTGGTCGCTATTTGCTTTAGCGTCCAAATTAACATTTTTAGCGACCAATTTTGTTGGTCGCTTATTACCTATTTTTTTGTAGTGTATTTTGGGAGATATAAGCATTTTAAGGTTTAGTTCATTTTGAACTAAAGCCAGTTAATAAAGCATAGCCGTCCGATCATTTCTCCATCAGGATCGGATGGTGCAGAATCCGTCAGATCGTGTGATGTCTCCAACTAGATTTGAGCACGCATCGATCCAGACTACATGCGCCTATGCAACGTGATCACAGCTGTTGGTTTGTTGTGTGGTCGGATCAATGATCCTGATCAACGGATGACATGTATAAGTGGTGGGTCCCGCCTACCATGTGTCGCAACATGATGCACCACCATCATTTTAGCACCAATCATTGCCAGTCATTGGCCCCAGCGGCTTATTTGACTAGAATTGATTAAAATAAATAATTTAAATGCCATAATATTCCAAAATTCTCATAAAATTAAAATTTCCACCAAATTGGACATTTTTGGACTCGTTGGAAAGGAAATTTAATGTAGTATTTATTAAAATTAAAATTTAGTTGATTTGATATTTTTATTGTGAAATATACTCATTTTTTTAAATTTTATTTTTAGTAATTTTCTTACAATCCAGTGGTCAATCAGAGTCAAAATTTTGGGGAAATCTTTTTGGGTAGCTTAGGTATGTTTTGTGATTTTTCTTGTGTCAGAAGATTTTTGTGAATTTTCAAAGAAATAGGTCCATTTTAGACCCAAAACTTTGAAAATTCATAACTCTATAGATTTTTAGTATTATGATCTAAAATTTTTTTGCTGTGTATACATTAAAGTTAGGGTTAATCAAAAAAAAAAAATTTCAAGCTTATTTGAATAGAAGAGACACCTAGGGAAAATAATTAGAAAACTTAAAAAATTCCAAGGGGATTCTACACATACCCAATAGGGGTGAAACTTGAACAAATTAAACTTAGTGACATCCTCTATCATAGTTTTAAATTTTACTGGATTTGAAGCTCATTAAGATATAAAATTACGCATATCAAATTTTAGCCCCTCTAAGGACTTAGAAAATTCAAAAATTCACAATAAATTGAGTTTTAATCCAAAAAATTAAAATAATACCTCAAACTAACCAGAACTTAGTCTTATATCTAGGAAAAATAAAATCCCTATAATCAAATATCTAATTTAACTTTAATTTGACTTTTAGTGATAGTTAACAATTATTTAATTTAGTTAATTAAAAATAATTCAAATCTTCAAAATTCCTTAAAATACTTGTTGATCCTTTCTTAGATTATTTCTGATCTTTGGAGGTAATTTCAAGGAGTTTGAGACTTATTTGGGTTCAAATCATTAAAAGGACCCTTAATTAAAACAAATTAAAAAGTCTAATAAATACCCAAACTTTATAAAATCATAACAAATTATAAAAAAATCCCAAATTAGTCAAATTCAAAGGGTAATGATTCAAAATAAAATCTAATATTTTCTAAAAAGGTCAAACCTCCAAAATCTGGTCAAAATCAAATAGTCAAAGGTTTGGTCAAACCCAAGTCAAAATCTAGGCATAAACTTTTGAAATTCATAACTTTTCATAGAAAACTCCAAATTAAGCATGCTAGTTGTCTTACTACTCATTATAAGGTCTAATATTTGTTAAAAATTTGAAACCTTCAAGATTAACTTTAATTTGAAAAGTCAATTTTTAACTCCCTTAATTAATGCATTAAGATAATTCAAAAGATATAATAAACTATCAAATTTTAGAATTTTCCAATTTGAATAATAAAACATTTAACCAACTTCTTAAAATTAGCCACTAACTAAAATATTTAATTTTAATCCACTTCTAATATTTAACCAACTAAATTAACTTAATCAATCCTGATCACTACTGGTAACTCGGGCCTATGAGGCTATTAGCTTAGCCCCAAGGAAGGTGAAATAAACTTCATAGATTCGGTGTGAAATAAAGGTAGAAATCATTTAACAATTAAAATATATCCAAATTAAGATTTAATACATTAATATTTAAACTTTGACATAAAATTTCCCTTTAGCCTTAAAAATTATGAACTTTAGATAACTGCAACGAACTACCCAACATAGGATTTACCCCAACAACCCGACCTTCTACACACATTTTAGATGATTTGCTAGGACGGCCGACTCTAGATCTAGGCTAGACAGTTGTTTACTTTTTTGCATTGTGCAATATATTTTGAGATTTTACTACATATTATGAATGAAACTACCTACTGTATATGCTTACACTTGCTGCACTCTATGGATGATTGATGTGTTTGGAGACTAGCTTACCTTTATGATAGAAATGATCTCGATGTTCATTGATTTTTCTGTAAGTGGTCATGGTCATGCAGGGTAATAAAAAAAGTGGGATAAATAAAAATCAATAATAAATATGCTTACTACAAGTGCTTCAGCTGCTAAGCCTCCTAAATAATAAAAAAGAGCATGTCTAGCCTATTTTTCTTTCTCTGTATATATATGTATATATATATATATATATATATACATACTTGGGATGTATTTTAATTTATTAAATGCATCACATAACCTTATAGGAGAGTCTAAAATTTTTATTTTATATCAAATGTAATTTATTTAAGAGAATTGAGTTGTGAAAGTGTACATTTGAGTCAGGTTACATAGATCCAAAGGTTGAATTCCAAAGAGAAAATGATACCCTTAAAGGTGATAGCCCTTTTCTATTTGAAAATCCAAATTTGGAACATCCTTTTTTATACCCAAAGCGAAAAAGGGGGGCCTTCCCTTAAAGGAAGAGCTCTCTTTTTCATTTGGGTAGCAAGCTACAAAGAATCCAAGTAGCCCGAAGGAGAGAAGACTGATGAATTGAAGATGAAGAGAATCCAACTAAAAGTCACTTGCATCTTTAATAGGATTATAATCTGGGTTAATGTCGATGGTGCCCAGTCACTTTACTTTCTACATTTTTGAGTTGTAACAAACAAGGAAACTTACATATGGACATTTATTAATTAATTTGATTATATCTTGTGTGTTAATGTGATTGCATATAGGATTGCTTACTGTTACAAATCTATTTTCATGGCTTATATTTGGATGATTGGCAAACACTATTTTTCTTGGATTGCTTGTTGCTTCTAACTTTTCAGGAATCGAAGATCGGACGAACAGACGAAGCCAGTTCAGGATTGCATATGATTAGGGTTGTGTCAGTCTGTACTTTTGTTTTTCACTTCTTGAGTCTTCTTATAATGGTCAAAGAGACTGATGCTAAGTAACCCTACACACACACACTTGAGAGACTTAGAATTTCTGTTTTTACTCATATCAGCCAGGACGATTTTTACATCGTCCTGGACGATCAAGCTTAAAATAGAAAGTCTAAATAAGGATTCTTAATTAAGGCAGCCGTCATTAACAGATCATCCTGGAAGATACGTGTATCGGCTAGGATGAAAAACTCAAAACAAAAAGAAATTATCGCCATAGACAATTATGGTATTCTGTATTTTTTAATAATCGGCATTATCATTGATCGGCCTGGACGATATTCACAAATTATGCCTTAATTGATCAGGAAATCAAGGGAGTAATTAAGGATGATTGATATGATCATATCGTTCTGGATGATCGCAGGATCGTCCAGGACGATCCAGTCAAAAATCTTAAGTTACTTCAGGACGATAAATATCGGCCAGCTCGTATCCAGGGC